CACTCATAATAACATCTGGGCACACTCCTGTGGATGTTGTCCCGGGGATCCCCTCCCAGACATGGATCCGAGCATCAGTGAGCTCCTGGACAGACCGTGGTGCTATGTTGTGGCTTTGGATGCTTGACACATAATATCCCAGAGCTTCCTAGTTGGATGCATTGTGGGGTATGTTAGGTCCAGTCAGTGGCATCGATGGCCGAGCATTTTCCTACACCAGGGAACCCGAGGCCTGCTGCATTTTCAGGTCTGAGGATTTCTCGGTAACAGCAGTCAGGCTACTGTTGGCTAATAAAGGTCTGTATTACTGATCAACACAGTCGGAGAGAAGTTCAGAAGGTAGAAAACCTAGTATAACCTTGGTACTGTAAGCCAGAGGGTAAAAGAGAGAGAAGGAGAGAGAGCTGGTGATCTAAAATTTCTCTCGTAGAGGCAAAGAGCAGAGAGGATGGTTTTCATGGTTACACAAGGCCTTTAAAAGATGTAGAATAGCAGATTTCAATAGCGGAGGATGGTTTTTTTTTTTTTTTTTTCCCTTTCCTTCAAAGACAAATCCTGCCTGAAACTCTAACGTCACATTTAGGTATCAGACCTTAAAGAGCAAAAGAGCTTCTCTCCAGACTGAGTAACATCACACAAGGAGGAAACCAGTGGACAGAGGCAGAGATACCGTTTTTGACTTGGTTCAGTTTTTATATTTTCAGTAAAAGATCAGAGCTTTTTTCTCAGCTGAAAAACTCCTATTCACTTTGCTCTCTCTGGCTCTGTTGCTTTTGCACCTAAGCCAAAACAACAGTTCCCCCTGAGATTTGTGCAAAATCGTCCGAAAGGAGAAGGAAAAATACGCAGAACATGTCTGATTAAACCTTGATTTTATAGCGTTTCACTCTGGGTTTTGCCTTTAGGTAAAATCCACTTTGTATTGATCTAAACTGCAGGTTAAACTTTCCATAGAGACGTGCCACTATTTCATACGTGGAATTGAGTGGACTTGTCAACAAGAGTAACGGGTACCTATTTCTCTTGCGGTAGGCATGCAGTGTTTTTACTGCTGATCAGAGCGGCTTATGGTTTCCGTGAAGGATTTATTTCATCGAATGAAAT